TTGGTCCTGCTTTGAGCAGGGGGTTGGACTAGATGACCTCTTGAGGTCCCTTCCAACCCTGATATTCTATGATTCTACCATGGAATCTGGTATTCACATATCAGAGATGAGAAAACAAAAGGAAAAACCCTTGCAGAAATTTCACCTTCTCTCGCTTGCAAATTTGAGGGCATAGATAAATCACTACACATACTATTCACATTCCACCCAGAAACAAACTACTATGTTCTGCATCCTTATGTGGGCTCAGCACTGTTTTCACTGAATGAGTGGCACCTTCACCCTTATTCAGGCAAAACGCACATTGAAGCCCCAGGTTTTGTCCCTCGCCCATTGAAAGCTGAAGGCATTTCCTAACATTGTATGAAAAATGCTTTTGGTGAACTTCTATAACAAGTCCTTGGTGGGAACAGGGTCAGATGGATCGTCATGATGCTGTGATTGCTTTCACAGCCCTGCTATAGTGTGTGAGCTTTTAGTGAGCACCTGAAATCTGCTGTTAATGACATGAGTACGAATCACTGAGATAAATCTAAAGCAGAAAAGCTGTATCCAAATATGAAGATATTTTAAAGTTTAGCATAATGGGACTAAAATCATGAAGGGTCTATGCTTGCTTCTGGGGGAGAGTCCCCCAACTGTGGTAAGGTCACTAGGCAGGGATTTTGGAGTGGCACAACCTCCCATGAACCAGGAAGGCCTTAGGGGACCAACCCGGCCTAAAATGTGAGTAGTAGTGTCTGGGAAAGGGTATTGTCAACTTGGTCAGAGGATGCACTGAATCATTGTATCCCCTCAGCAGCCTCGGCTAGCAGGGTTCCTGCAGAGCTCTTTTTGCCTCCCTCGGGTGTGGCGGAGCGGGATGGGGGGAGAGTACCCCGAGGGAGAGCAATAGTGAAAACACCTCCTGTCTTTGGGATGAATCCTCCCCGGATATAGCAAACCTCAGGGGTACAGGGAGATGTACTTACAGCTTTCCAAGGCAGTTTCAGTGGATCTGCACTCTGGAAACTTTATTTTATTTCTGCCTCCAAAATTGTAAAGTTCCAAGTCTGTGTCTTCTGAAAAACTGCACAAAGCTAATGGAGCAGTCTCAGCTGCTCACCTCATTATATGAAAATATTGGAGCACATCCTGGAAAACCATCTGACACCACCTGTCCCTTATTAGTTATTTAAGTAGAGTCACTTGTGCTCAGTGCTTAATTTGTAATGAAAGAGGTGCCGGGGCTCAAGCACTTTTTTACATTTATAACTGATGCAGCAAGCCCAGAGGTCCTGGGGCTATGAACTGCCAAGCCTCGAGGTGCCGGGTCTCAGCCCTGGCGCCAATTAAGCACTGTTTGTGCTCAAAGGATCTACTAAAGGGCCTGTTTCTCAAGCAAACTTAGGCCTAAGTAATTATTATAAACAGCGATCTTATAATATCCTCATTGTTAGGAGCTCTCCTATGAAAAGCGGTCACTATAATAGGATTAGGCAGTATGTTTTTTCATGCCAGACCATTTACTGTTAAAATGCTTTATTATATTTCACCGTAGCCCATTGCCTGCCCACAAAACACACACACCATGCAGTAATGTCTTTTGTGTTTTGACATCTAAGTATCTTCTGTCTGCTATTGTCAAAGAGGAAAAAGCAGATGATGATCACAAATCATTTCCTTCAGAGACAAGTTGAATTAACAAAACATGCTCCTGAATCGCTTTGTACATATTGATGGGGCTCAAACAAGAAAAATCTCTCATCAGAAAATATAGCTTTCCCCACAGGTCTACACAGCATCTTATTTCTCTCTCCCTCTGCTCTATTTTATTTCACTTTGCAATCATCTTGCTTCATTCTTTTTGTGAAAGATTCTATGAAGAATCATGGAGCACTGAATGGCATCCTCCTAGTCTCTCATTGTGTGTCATGTGTCACAGCTTCCTGTTAACACCATGATTCCTGAAAGACAGAGTTCATCTGACCTTAGGAGTGGGGAGAGAAGCCCCAATCATGCAAAGATTTAACTTCATTGCCATGAGTTGATGCATTGAAAGCAATGGAACGAGTGACTCATGGGAGTAACACAAAAACATGTTCATAAGACTTTGCAGGACTGAGGCAAGACTGATCCTCTTTTCTGAATCTCAGAGAAAAATGCTTCCCTCTTATTTGTTCCATTTGGGGGGACAGAAGGAAAGAGGTGAAAGGTTTTGGTGCCATCCAAACCATTACAGAGACTCTTCATACAACTCAAAGGGGTCCTTTGGATGGCAAGTGGAGTTATAATTATAGACTAGAAAACAGCAAGATCAGCAGCTGCTGTTGCTTGCGTCTGTTCCCTGCTGTAACTGACAGCAGTGAGGGACTTGGCAAAAACAGACTTCCAGAAGTGGAAAGACATTTTAACCCCTGTGCTTGTCAGTCCACTCCTCCAGGGTCTCAGTAGTAAGCAAACCCCCAATAGCCTATGTTCCTAAGGTGAAGAAGGAGCAAAGACACTATTTCATACCTGAAGGCTTCTTCACTGGGGACATTTGAGGAAAAGAAAGGGTCTGGGATTTTCCTTCATGGTTGGGCTGCCACATCAGAATAGCAGGTTAGTGTACACAGAATGTGCTTAATGTTTTTTTTTAATTGGACTCAATCTGTACATTTGAATCCCTCTCTCCACCATAATATAAAACAGGAAATAAAATGATAGAAATTTGATGGTTAATTTTGCACGTAGGCGTTATTTATTTGTATATACTGTAATGTATCTACAATGTTATTAATTGCCATCCTTTTCTACGGCGGTTTCTATTTTAATTGTAATGCTTCCAATCCTGAAGTCTGTATCTGGACAAAACTCTCATTAACTTTGGGAGTAATGTTAATAGAACAACAATATTCTTTTATTTTTAGGCACCAATGCCAAAGGACTTCTGGTTGCCTTAGCAAAAGTACAATAAAATATAAGTCACAGTAATGGAGTAAATTCCAGAGAGGTAACCAATACTGAAGGGAAGGAAAAGCAGGATTACAGGTATGGGTCAAATTCTCTGTTGATGTAAATTGGTGCAGCTGCAGCGATATCAATGGAACTGTGCCAATTTATACCAGAAGAGAATTTTGCCCTATATCTGCTAATGAGGTAAATAATAATAAAATATCTATATAAGGTATTTTATAGCACCAATCACCATAGTATCTAGTGCCCAGTATCTGCAAGAGTAAAGCCATGAACCAGGAATATAGATCTTATTTATACCATGTCTTCCCATTGCTATGTATTGTATTTTATATATTTAAAAAGTATAATGGAGACTATGAACATGTTCCCAGAAAACCACACAAGTAGAGCACCAAATCTGTGCTTCTTGTGTTGTGAAACATTTATTTCCATATGAAGCAAAAGAAAATAGATATACTGTGATCATTCACTCTCCACTGGTCTAATAGCAATTATGCTTAGTTTTACTAATACAAAAATAATGTGATAGTGCTTTTCAGATAATACCCCTGAATTTATTGTGGCACCTGCAGTACAAATCCTCCTGGGGGTACTCATAGTTTCAGTTCTAGCTAGGGCTATAGCTGTGCTATCTTGGCTTTCACAATTCCAATAGAATTTCACTGGAGGTTCCCATTAGAAATATTTGTTGCCCTATTCATACTAGATCTCTTCTCATCATAACCATTTGGTGAAGCCACCTGTTTGGTTGGGAACTAGAATTGAGGCTCCCCATGCTGACCCCCAGGCATTCTGGCATGCAAGACGTCACCTCTATCCACTGATCAGCCAGGATGTGAGCCCTTAGTTGCACTTATCAGACTTCAATCGAAAAACAGATGTGGGGGAAAAAATCAGCAATAGCACAGCTATCATTTAGAAGCCAAGGAATAATAACCATATATTCCAGGATTTTACAAGCTGCCCGGCCATTCTTCACACAAATCAGAACTCTCAGGAGAGACCATCGGTCAGAAATGGAATTCGTATGGGTGTCCCTTCCTCCTGTTTACTCCCCCTATGAATAAAAGAAGAAATTAGCAATTCTACAGCTAAATTTTCATGGTTTATTTTTATGCTCAGCATCAGAGGCCTAGCCAAGTTGTACACTATCAGGCAGCCCTTATGGTTTGATAGTTTCTCTTTTAAATTAAAGTAAATAGCCTACAGTGGCATAAAGAAAACATGCAAGAGTGGCATTTATGCTAGAGCAATGCAAGTGATTTTATACAATCATTAACTGGAGATTACTGCTATTTCCTTCCTAAAATGCTGAGCAAAGTTCTCCTCTCCATATTTGTAGTTAAAGTACACGTCTCACCAATATCCCTAGGTGCATAAACAACAAAAAGAGCCATATAGCACTTTGACAAAGTCAACAGGAAAACATTTTTACCACTACCAAATATAAGCTAAATTCCTAGCCCTCCACTCAGGCTGCCAGGGTTGCCAATTTTGGCTGGACATATTCCTGGAGGTTTCATCACATGACATAATCTTTAATTAAAGATTAATCTTTAATTCCTGGAGATTCCAGCACAATCCTGGAGCTTTGGGAAACCTACAATGTGCTCTGTGAAGACCTGAGAAAATAGCTAGGTCTTGGACTGTGACCTAACTTGGGCACTGCACTGTTGGAGTAGAAGAAGGCACCAACAAGACTGTCCTACCCACCAGCCACTCAAATATCAAGGCTGTTAGAAGAGCCCCCAAGGTGATCTCACTTGCTGCAATGACATAAAATAGGAAAGGCAGTCCCTAGATCACATTGGGGTGTATAGATCATACCAGAGCTGGATGAAAATGGGGCAGGGAAATTCATGATTTTGTTCTTCTGTTTTTTCTGTTGAAATTTTGAACAAAAAATTCAACAAAATTGGAAATTTAGAAAAATGTCATGAAATCCTAGTCAGTCACTTGAACCGCAGCTTGGGGCAAGCTGGAAGCTAGTAGAATCTTTGAAGAATAGGTGTTGTATGCTCCAGGTAGCTGACACTGCCAAGCAGGTGGACGGGAAGGTACATCTGTCCTGGCTGGAGCTTCTGGATGGTCTTCAAGAGTAACCCCATTGCAGTAATCCAATCTGCAGGTCACAAATACACTGCTAACTAAAACTAATATATATATATAGGGGTTAAGATACACTCTAAAACACTGTCCATTTCTTGCTTGTTTTTACTTTTCTAGAAACAACCTGCCAAGACAATGACAGTCACTTACTCCAGTAAAGTAGCAAATGCCACCTTCTTTGGATTTCACAGATTACTCCTCAAGTGGAAAGGCAGCATCTACAAATTGCTGTACAGGGAATTTATTGCCTTTGCTAGTCTTTACACAGCAATAAGTGTATTGTACAGGTACATCTGTTTCCATGTGACATATTCATGTCTCCTTCTTAATCAGAATCAAATGCTATGTAAAAGGCACAGTCTCACTTCAAATTCTTTGGCTGATGACTGATTTTGTACTAAATAACATGACCTTTTGCTTAGACCTTTTTAATGTAATTTATATCTCACATGATTTTTGGACTGTTAAATTACTGTTTAACCAGCATCTTCAAGTGATTCTAATTTCAGCCGCATGCTAGCTGATGATTGTTGTGTATATGTCATCTTCCAAAAATGTTATGCCTTATAAACATCTGCAGGACTCCTATGTCATTACATGGTTTTTGCCACTCTAACTCTGCACTGACTAAATGACCTGTTTTGAACTGCGAAGTCTAGACATTGTCATACTTATGCGTCTATGTCAGCACCAGTTAATAGATGGCAATTTAATAGGAAATGCTGAAAGGTGATTATTTTATGGTCCAGTTATGTAGCCCTTTCTCAGGAAATGGAAAGTTGAGGTTTGCCTGAGTAAGGACTGCAATAAGAGCCCATAGTTTTGAAGAGCCCAATCTCGCAAGGTGCCAAGCATCTACTCAGTAGAAATTGGAGGCACTCAAGTTGGGATCCATTAAGAGACCTAGGTATTGCAATGCTGAGAGCCACGGCAACTTACTTTTAGGCACCTAGACAATTCAGGAGCACCACTCTGATCCACAAAGCCGAGTTAGGCGACCAGGATCCCTATACAATAAATGGAGAGAGATAGGTGCTTAAGAATGTGATCCACAAAAGCTCACGCACTAGGCCAGGAACCGCCTGAGTTAGCCAATGGGAAATGCTGATAAAAGGGGGGTGTGCTAAGTCCTGCCCATCCCCTCAAGGTAGGAACCTAAGTCTGGGCTGCAGGGAAGTGCCTATTTTTGCTTAGCGATTCACAAATGGGCATCTTCCCCCTGCAGTCAGACAGCTTAGGTGCCTAACTTAAGGCATTTCTTAAGGCACCTGCTTCGCTCTACACAAAACAGCTGAAGAAGGAGTTGGTGATGCTGCTGCACCCCTGAGTGACATAGTAATGCCATCCTAACCCCAGGTGTAGACAGCTTCTCCCGTCGTCATACCTCTCTGGGAGGTGGAGTACCTACACCGACAGGAGATGCTCTCCCTACCTCACAGGAGAGTCTCAACAGTAGCACCTTGCAGGATCAGTGTGTAAGTCAGGGTGAAATTTATCCCAGTGCAAAAGGCCAGCACAAGACCTATGTGACACTTAAGTCCCAATTAATTCCTCAAGTGTGACTTAAGTGGGGTGTATGTAGGATCTCCAGATGAAAGGAAGAAAATATTGGGAAACCGGGGGAGGGGAAAAAAAAAAGCCGAGTGCTGCCGGCAAAGCAAAAAAACCCGCAAACTGCCGGCAGAGTGAAATATCAGGACAAATTGCGTCCCAACCAGAGATCGGTCGGGACGCAGGACAAACAGCTAAAAATCGGGACGGTCCCGATTTTATCGGGACGTCTGGTCATCCTAGGTGTATGTCTCATGCTAGTCCTCTGCCCATGGTAAATCTCACCTCGGTGAAGACAAAATTTCTTAATGGAATGAAGACTTTCACTGATAAAATAAGTGGGATGACTTCAAATTATTTTTCAGTCCCTCTTTAGAACTAGAATTGGAGCTCAACATTTTTTTTTCCATCTAAAACAAGTTCTTTGGACTTACTTTGTCTACATGGGCAATCACTAATCTTCCAAGATATACAGGCATACAGCACGGTATAGCTGGTAGCAAGACTAAATCATTGACATGTAAAGAAACAACAACAAAAACCTTTCATTTAAAAAAAATCTATTCTTACTTTAAAACTGTACATAAAAACTCTCTTCTTTATTCAGTGTACACTGTGGAAAGCATTCTATATGAACAGCAGATTTTATTTTACAAATGTAAAACAACCCCAAATATTTGCCATGTATATCTTTTATATGGGATAAGATAACTGTAAGATTTTATATATAAATAAAATAACTGCTTATGTTTAAGAATATTGTATTTCATTAGCTATCATTCTACACTGTGCTCCATTCTTTTTTCTGCCATACGGCTTATAGTTGCCTTAGTTTAAATATATTTGATTTTTTGTGCCTTTTAACTTATGGCCAAGACAAATTTCTTAGTAGTAAATGAGATATACCCCCTGATGTGGAAAGAGTAGAGTTTTCAAAAAACAGCAAGTACAGATTAGTGCCCCTTTCCAGTTTCAGAAGATCTGATCAGATCACTTTTATTAAGTAGTCCAGTTGAAAAATGGGACAAAAATACATTTGCTGAAGTAGTTTGCACCAAGACCATTGATTTGTGTTAGGTGGCATGCTACAGGCGAATAGCACAAGTGGTTTTTGTCACTTCAGTAATTAGAAATATTTTATGACTAGCAAATAATATTCCCCCACCTGTCAACTCCCTTATTACATGCTACAAATATTAACACCCTAAATGTTCATCAATTTAACTCCTTAAAGATTCATCTATCCACATTAGCCAAGATCACTCCTAGTTTCAGTTATCTGGTTATTTATACTTAATTGTCTTCACTTTATATCCGAGGTGTGCAGCGGTATTACAAAGGGATATATACATTTTATTTTTGCTACAGATTTTTTCTTACAGGAAACCAAAAACGGTTCTTTGAAAAATTATCAATTTACTGTGACAAATATGCTGAACAAATCCCAGTCACCTTTGTGCTTGGTAAGTACAGCGTAACTATGGAAAGAATCCACAAAGCTGCCTCCATTAGGATGTCACAAATGGCAATGCATGGAAGTATTTCAGAGCTGAAAGGCATGTTGGAAATCTGTCTCACAATAAAACCACTGCCATCCATTAAGATTGCCTTAAAGTCAATTTGCTTTTGTCAAGTCAACACCGCATATGCTTCAATTATTACTTCACTGTTGGAAGATTTAAGTTTTTATTCACTAACTGTGTTTGTTTAAATAACTAGCTGAGCCTGATCCTGTGAAGTGAGTATCCTTCACTCCCATTTCACTGAATGGGCGTTGTGAGTGCTCAACATCTTGCATGAGGCACTTAGAACCTTGCAGGATTCGGCCTTTGGAATGTAATAGCTACTTAATAATTGGCTTTAACTGTATCATATTGTGCATATTTTATAACAATTATTCTGGCAAATGAAGTTACCTTACAGCCTAGATAACATCCTACAGAATGAACTAAAACTCAACATTAGAGGATCTGAGTGTATGTCAGTTTTGCAGCAAGAACAGTGATGTTGATATACTTTTTTAACACGCAGGATTCTACGTTACTTTGGTGGTGAACCGCTGGTGGAACCAGTTTGTGAATCTGCCGTGGCCAGACAGACTTATGTTCTTGATCTCTAGCAGCATTCAGGGAAGAGATGAATACGGGCGCTTACTTAGGAGAACTCTAATGCGTTATGTGAATTTAACTTCCCTGATCATCTTCCGCTCAGTGAGCACAGCTGTATACAAAAGATTTCCAACCATGGACCATGTGGTAGAAGCAGGTATTGTCAATTTCCTTTCCCCAATAAGCTCTGCCCTTTTGACTACAGATGGGGATGTTGGAGAGCTGCCTTGTATTTTCTTCTCTTTAATCCCTTATCCCTGTCAGACCGCCCCATGTCAAAGCCACCCACTGTCAGAGAAGGATTAGATAAAATGCTTTTAAGAGTCCACCATTGCTAAATTCTTTATCTAGGTCCATTTTAGAACAAGATGAGGCCCTTATGACTGAGCATGCTACATCTCCTCTGCACTCAGCCTTTCTCAGCCAGGGGAGTGAGAGGATGACAGAGTGAATTTAAAAAAATTTTTTTTTACAAAAATTTTAAAAAGATTTTTTTATTTAAATTAAATATGAGTTTATTTTTAAAACAACCGAATTTACAATTAAATTTGAAATTCTTACAACCTATGTTAAGGCCTAAACTTACTATAATCTAATAAAATCATTTAAATTCAGTTAAATGAATAATATTAAATATTACATCCTTGCTGCCAAAGTTACAAAAGAAAGTCAAACCACTGAAGTGGTGGAAGTCACTGGTGGAAGCACCTGGTACCAGAGTTTGTTGAACTGCTAAAGCTTTTGACATCTTCATTTCAGTTTATTCAACTAGTACAGTTGATTAACTAGTTCATTCAACACTAAGGAACCAGTTGGGAGTCAAAATAATAGGAAAGCTTGATTTTCTCTTCCAATCTATGACTAAAAATGAGGTGTGAGAGGAGGAGATCTACTAGTTCTAAAATCTTGAAGGACATGATGACCATAAAAAATCAGTTAATGTCACTGAATTAGTTAGTTTTAAATGCAAAATATGTTGTTAAACTTTTTTCCCCTTATGTATCCAGCACATTTAAGGCAGTTTTATTTAACTAACCAAATTTTTTTTAATTCTAATATCCATCCAAATAGAGATTGACACAAATCATGAGTAAACAATCATCATCCAGTAAATAAAAAATGCACCATTCACCATTTTCTAACATAATAAAAAATTAATAAATAAATGTGTACAGATATAGTGTATTCTCCTCTTTAGCAAAAAGAAGTACCACATTTGTTGTAAATGCTATATTTACTTGCAAATCAACACAATTTAATGGTTACCAACCAGTAAGAATTAACCCTTCTTTAGGAAAATAACTAAAAATTCCAAACACTAAACAAGATTAAAATCATGGTTTAAACCATGATTTTAGTCTGTTTGATTTAAATCAATCCACCCTGGAAGCTGAGTTTGGGAATGGTACCTGGATCTGTTGCCTGGTAGCATACAACATCATTTATAAGCAAACAGGCCAGCCCAATAAGTATTGTCATTTTTGTGTGGTGCACAGAATAATGAGATGGCATCTTTTATCCCTTCTCTTAGGAAATGCCCTTTTGTAATGTTCCGGTGACCTAGTTCCCATGACCACCAATACACCTCATAAGAAATGGGTTCCCCCCCCCCCCCCCCAAGAACATGTATTATCCCAAATGTCTACCAAGGAGCATACACATGCTTCAAGGCAGAAGCTGGTCGCTAGCTAAGCCAAAATAAATTCCCTTTCCAACCTCCCTGCTGCACAGTTAAGTGCATGGTGTGGTCTTATACCTTCTTCTGAAGTATTTGGAATTGCCTGTTGTCAGAGACAGGATACCAGACTAGATGATGATTGGTCTATTCCGACAGGGCTACTCCTGTGTTCTTTCTATGGTGTCTTGTAAACTGTATTATTTTGGGAAACAACAGTAAGTTATTGATGTTATGCTATGTTAAAATATGCTGTTTATATACACATGAGAGTTTTAGAATATTTAAGAAAAAACTCCCAGCCGATTACATCTTTCTTATTGACAGAGCCAGCTCAGGTTGATGTCTTCCTTTTTCCAAAATTATGTTGAATTTTGAAATCCTTTTCCTAGCATTTTTCAACAGCAAGTTGTTTACCTGAGCCTGAGAGGTCAGTGAAGCTTTTGTCATTCCTCCTAGCCAACTACTCTTAATACACACAGGAAAATTACAGCAATTCCTGCAAGCTAACCCACCTCTGCCTCTCTTTGCTAAAGACAGCCTGTTCTTAAAGATACAGTGTCTGAGTACTGTACATACATTGCTGTAGATTGGTGTTTCTTAACAGCTGGAGAAAATATTCTACCATAGTGTCCCTGAACAAGTCATGACAATATAATCAACACGATACATCTGAATATATCTTGTCCCACAAATATTTCGCAGCTACAGTACTGAACACTTGAGGTGAGATTCTGCTAATCTTTCTCATGTTGAGTAAAATACAATACTCCATAATTAGTCCCATTCACAGTTAGCTATGGCTTTATGGAACAGAGTACTTGTTGATCCTGCATTCAGTATAATCAATGGTGGCAGAATCTAACCCTTAAAGAGCATCAGTAATTATGGAAGCCACTTGTGCCATTTTTTCACCTCGCTGTCAAACTGAAAATTGTTAAAGCAAAAATATTGCTACACATTTGCTTTTCCTGCAAGCATATTTCATAAATTCATAGATTAGATTTTAAGGCCAGAAGGGACCATTATGATCATCTACTCTGACCTCCTACATAACACAGGCCATAGAATCTCATCCAGTGATTCCTGCCTCAAGCCCATAACTTCTGTTTGAGCTCTCGTGTACCTTTTAGAAAGATCTAAAGACTGCAAGTGATGGAGAATCCTCCATGTTCCTAAGTAAATTGTTCCAATGCTTAGTCACCCTCACTGATAAAAATTTGCATCTTATTTCTAGTCTGAATTTGTCTGAGTTCAGCTTCCAGACATTGGCTCACATTATGCCTTTTTCTGCTTGAGTAAAGAGCCAAAGAAATCCCTTCCCCACCGAGGTGCTTGTAGAGTACAAGTAAGTCACCTCTTAACCTTCTCTTGGATAAATTACATAGACTAAGCTTCTTAAATCTCTCACAGTAAGGTGAATTTTCCAAATCTCAAATCATTCTTGTAGCTCTTTGTTGCACTCTTTCCAATTTTTCAAGATCCTTTTTGAATTGTGGACACAGTATTCCAGTAATGGTTTCACTAATGCCACAGACATAGGCAATACGCCCATCCTCCTCCTAGTTGATATTCCCCTGCATATGTATCCAAGAATCGTGTTTTCTCTCTTAGCTACAGCATCACCCTGGGAGCTCAAGTTCAGTCAGTTACCATGACCCTCATGTCCTTTTCCATGTCACTGCATTTCAGAATACTGTATCCCAACTTGTAAGATCTACAGTCTTTCTTCCTAGATGTCTGACCTTGCATTTCAGTGTGTTAAAATGCATGTTGTTCAAATGAGGGCACCTCAACAAGTGAGCTAGATCACTCTGTATAACTTACCTGTACCCACCATTATTTACCAGCTTTGATTTTTTATTTTCTTCCAAAGCATTGATAAAGATATTAAATAGTTTTGGACCAAAAACAGACCCAACTATAAACATCCCCATTGAATGATAATTCCCCATTTACAATACTTTTTGACATATGTCAGTTAGCTAGTTTTTAAATCCATTTAATATGGGCTACAGTGATTTTGTATGGATTTTGCTCATGGGTGGTGCCTCCACTAATGCTTCCTGCCATGGCCCCAGACTGGGCCGCAGTGGGACTCAGGGCTCCTCTGACCAACCAGGGCTCGGGGTGGCTCAGGCGAACGAACCAGGGGCGGCTCAGGTGGGCAGGCCAGGGCTCAGATGGGCCTCCTCCAGCCGTGGTGGGGGACTCAGGGCTCCTTTGGCCCCAATGGACGAGAGCAGGGGGAGGGGAGGAAAGGGGTGGAGTGGGAGTGGGCTTTGGGCAAAAGGAGCGGGGCAAGGGGATAGCCGGTTCACGCACCACCCATGATTTTCCTAATTTTTCAACAGTCTGTCACACAAGACTAAGTCAAATGCCTTATGGAAGTCTATGATATCAATACAGTTACCTTTATCCACCAAACTTTTCTTCTCAAAAAAATTACATTGTTTATTTGAAAAAACCTATTTTCCATAATACCATGTTGATTGACATTAATTATGCTATCATCCTTTAATTCTTTACTGATTGCATCACATACACCTTTCCATGCTTTTACCCAGAATTGCTATTGATGCCAACACTGTACTTTAAAAATACAGGCCAGACCTCAGACGTCCCAGTCTTGAATTGAGCCTCTGGGGCAAGTCTCTTCTCCTCCCCATCCTTCCGAGGGCCTCTGAGGGTATGTCTACACACAACTAGACACCCAGGGCAGGCCCATGCCAGCCGACTCAGGCTCATGGGGCTCGAGCTGTGGGGCTGTTTCATTGCTGTGTAGACTTCTGGGCTTGGTCTGGAGCCTGGGCTCTCCAGCTCTGGGTACTGCAGAGAACGCAGGGCACGCTAGGCTGCAGCTCCTATTCATGTTCCATGTGGGTGCCAGGAGCTGAGTCAGAGGCTGCAGTTGTTGGCCTCTGCCTGCAGCAGCACTGTACACTGCCGGGGGGTGGGGGCTGCACGAATGGTATGGCCTGGAGGAAGGCAGCAGCAGACGGGGGCTTCACTGCAGCCAGCAGGGGCACTATTTCAGATTTCAATGGGAGGGGCAGTTGTCAGAGGGGGTCCAGAGACAAAGGGGCAACTGGGCTAAATTTGAGTGGCATTGTGACTCCGTGCATCAGGTCAAGTTGCCAACCGGTTGGAGCGCCACTCCATCCTGGATTTCAGGTGCCAGAGTGACACTCCAGACCACTCCAGCGGCACTACTTCCCTGGTTGAAATATGGGATAAAAGGTGTCCCATACTGATTTAGTAGTAGGGGAAGGCAATTTTTTAATCCCTTATAATACGGAACTACTGGTAACCCTAATATCAGCTTAACTGGCCTATAGTTACCTGGGTCATCCTGTTTACTCTTTAAAATATTGGCACAACATTAGTTTTTTTCCAGTCTTCTGGAACTGTCCCAGTGTTCCAAGATTTGCTAAAAATCAGTATTAATGGTTCATGAACTCCTCAGCCAATTCTTTTAATACTCTTGGGTGCAAGTTACCTAGTTCTGCCAATTTACAAATGTTTACCTTTAACAGTTGCTGTTTTACACCCTCCCTAGTTATTGATTGAACAGAAAGTATTTCCTTTATCACTGTAATGAAAATAACTAGTTCGGGACTAAGGCTTGTTTCACCATAACCTTCATCAATGATTAAACATGCTCATACTGTAGCAATCCAGTGCATTCAGTGATAAGGACAATGCTCCCTGCCATTAATGTCCCTCAGGGAAACTGTTTAATCATTAATGTATATAAGCATAAATATCTTAACTTTAAAAATAATGTCTGTGGCACATAATAGTCTAGTCTCCAGTGGTCTGTAACACTTTGGTCTAATTGCGGTTGCTGGGTTTCGTGTGCGTGTGCTGGGTGATGTAGGTAGCCTGTGATATCCAGGATGTCAGACTAGATCAGGGGTGGGCAAACTTTTTGGCCCGAGGGCCACATCGGCATTGCGAAACTGTATCGAGCGCCAGGTAGGGAAGGCTGTGCCCGAACAGCCTCACCCCTGCTCCCTATCTGCCCCCTCCCACTTCCCGCCCCCTGACTGCCCCCGTCAGAACCTCCGACCCATCCAACCCCCCCCCCGCTCCTTGTCCCCTGTCCGCCTCCTCCTGGGACTCCCGCCTAACCGCCCCCAGGACCTCATCCCCTATTCAAGCCCCCCTTCTCCCTGTCCCCTGACTGCCCCCGGGGACCCCCAGTCCCTTATCCAACCTCTAGCCCCCTTACCATGCTGCTCAGAGCAGCAGAAGCTCGCAGCCCCACCGCAGCCAGCCACACTGCCCACGTTGCCCGGCAGGAGCGGCAGGCCAGACAAGGCTGCGGGGGAGTGGGGACAGCATGGGAGAGGCCGGGAGCTAGATTTCCCAGCCGGGAGCTCAGAGGCCGGGCAGGATGGTCCCGCGGGCCATTGTTTGCCCACCTCTGGACTAGATGATCATACTGTTCCCTTCTGGCCTTAAACTCTATGGGTCTGTATGTTAGTCTCTATCCCTACTGATTGAAACATCTTTTTCATTATCTTGTAGCGGCAAGCAGGGCCAGCAGAAAATCAAAAGCTCTATAAAACGTTACAGCAGGTTCCATGATTGTAGCTACAAAAATGTAGCATTTTTTTGGCTACCGCTGCTTTTTTATTATTATGATCACTAAAGTTGGCAGCAGAACTGCACAGACACTTTTTAAAAGTCTCGCTGTATTCTGTTGTTAACTGGCAGAACATTTCAAAAGTGCTGCATCTTTCTGTTGAACTCTCACTTTGTTGACTCACTTGAGGATATCGGATACTTTTCCTTTTTACTCATCAAAATCAGTAGCACGTGTTCTAGACACCTTTTCAATACATAGCTGTAATATTATTGTTCTTTGCGTTTTATTACAGTAACTGTAAAAGAAATTTAACGTGCAGTTATGCCCAGCAAAACACTACTTTAAAATGTCATGTTCTTATTCAACACAACTACTCCTATCTTACCATCTTACTTTACATACATAACTAAGTTTTTAGTATCTCATTTCTTTTTATTCTGTGTTGATTCATGTACCATTAGGAAAATTGGAAATGAAGGTCTGATTGCAAAATCTGTATTACTAGTGAGAGTCAAGAAAAAAATATAGCTTGATTTTCAAATTCCAGATTGAATTTGCAGCATTTAAAGTCTGAAAAACCATCATTTTGATTTCAACTGAGAAGATTTTATATGGCAATCACTGAGAAACAATAAACCTCATGATGGCATATTTAACCAGTCACTCCTTCAAATATCTCTGCATTTTAAGATTGCCAAAATACCGATTATATTTATAAGTTTACCCAAAATACTGTAACCACATGACTTTTATAGACTAGGGCACAGCTCTTTGCTATCTCCTGTATTGCCAGGTTACCAAATGCCTGTCCTGTTAGTGATTGTCTTAGAGTCTGGGTCAGCACAACAAAAGAGAGTTTACAAAAGGCTCTCATGTTTGAGCACAAATTATCCTCTCAGCATAGAGCTTTATATCAGGCGTCCTGATTTAACCCAAATTGATACAAACATGGCAAAAGTATCTGGCAGCATCCCTTCCATACATCTTCATGAGCAGTAAACTCAAACAAACAAACAATACAACCCAAACAGAGCAGCTCCAATGTTACCCCAGCCACCTTGTT